TCCAGACAGAAAGCCAATATATAAATATATATATTCATGTATGCATGCATGCATCCACCACCGCCACCGCCGCCACCACCAGCACAAGTATTCCATACATTTTCACCACAATATAACAAAAATACGCGGCATACATGCACATGGAAAGAGGGAAAAAAAAAAAAAATGAAAAAAAAAAAGAACACAACAACACACATTACATACAAGCAAACAGGAACCAGCACCACCACGCCGTAAATCATAAAATGGCAAATGACAATAATAATAATTAAAAAAAAAAAAACGTGCGGCCTTAATTATCAAAAAAAAAAAAAAAGAACAAACAAAATACAATGAAAACACATTTCAGCTCTTCATGCAAATTCTAGAAAAAAAAGAAGAAAAAAAACTGCATTCCAAAGTTCACCAAAAGTAAAAAAAAAAATCTCCCCTCCCCCACACCACACCACCACCACGTCTCTTCATTTTGTTCTTTTTTTCTTTCTTTACCGCAAAGGCTGCCCGCGATACCCAAATGACTGCAACCACACGGTGAACTTCCCTTGCGAATAAAGACCGTGCAAACAAAACAAAAGAAAAAGGAAAAAAAAAAAAAACCGTATTTTCCCCATCCCGTATACATGGCGTGTGCAGCTCTTGGTCGCAACGTGCGGCTCTTTTCTCTCCTCCTACCACATCTCCGAATAAACATAAGAAACAGCCGAACAAGTGAACAGAAACGACAAAGGAAAAGAAAAAAAACAAAGAGCATGGCCGCATGAATTCACCTGCTTATTTTCACAATGATGCACATACAACAAAAAAAAAAAAAAATCATATAGAAATAACAGTTGGCATACCTCCAATTTATTATATCTCTGTACAAATTTGACTACTTGAGAGATGCGGAGTCACACAAAGTCGTGAGTTCGGGTCGCTGTGCCAACCATGATGAGTACGTGCTGCGCATCATTTTCTTCATGGAATTATATTCCTCCTGGAGATACGCAGCAAAGGTGATAAGATTGAAGTACCGACGCAAGTAGTGTACTCCGTGGTGGTGTGCCCGGCCACGCTGCGACTCTGTGACATCCGGTGACTTCACCTGCAACGCAAAGCTCTCAATCGCTGTGCGAAGGTTTTGCATCTTGGCGCACACCTCTAGCACTAAGTCCACCTGCAGCTTCGCTTGGCGTCCCCCTGTAAGTACACGCTTTAGCTGCACAATGCAACTGTACTCCCCACGTGATAATGGTGAATCATCTGGCTTGAAAAGAGGATCATATCTATTGTTTAGTTCATCGTAATACTCCGGTATCACAAGACCAATCAACAAGCAGCAAATCACCATGCCAGTTGTAGTGCGTCCACGTCCCATTTGGCAATTAAATACAAATGACAGCGTCTCGCGACGATCCATGTGAGTGGCAATGCTAGGAAGTAAGACAGAAACAAGTGCATCAAAATCTTCTGCGCTA